CTGTGCAGCTTCCTTTAAAAACTTCCTTAAAAAGACTTTTTATGTATCAGACTTTTACTAAACATACACACAATAGAGCTAATACGCCCCTCTCCCGCTAACAAAACTTGCCAATAAAAACAGCACCACTTGAAACTAACGGCCATTCTTAAGACATTTGGAACGATACAAATAAATAATGATAAAATACGATTCATAAACATCAAAAAGATGTAACGAAGACTAATAGAAACAAACTATAGTATATAAATAAAAAAATAAAAGATTCGAATTTTTACACCGCCCTGCGGTGTGTTGGCGACTGCCCAGGATTGGTTCCTGCCTGCGCCCATTTCTCCACGGGATAGGCTCTGGTACCCCCCGCGACACCAGTTGGGATTCAGCGGGTACGGTGATGGGTGAATGAAATTCTTACAGTACTACCTAATTGGCTCACAAACGTACTAGCCTATTTCATTACATGCATCGTATTATACATATAAAATGATCATAAATACTGGGCACCTGATAACAGAGACCTTTTTTTAAATCCACTTGTGTTAATTTAGGGTGACCAGATAATCCATGTCAGGGAGGAACATTGAGCTACTCCAGGTTTTACAAACTACTTAAAACTGAAAGGCTCTTGTGCTTGGCTAAATAGTTCAGTTCTTCTTGCGCTTTGACTGGTTTGTTTCCTTGGTTGAAAGATTCATCCCACTGTTTTCCATTTACATAAAATAAAAAATGAAATGAAAATGAACATTAGTGATACACGCATATAATTATAGGAGCCTGACCAATCAGCACATAGCAAGATGTTAGAGCTTAAGTGAAATCCAGGGCATTTTAACTGAAATGGTAGTTTACAAATCCTGTTCCAGCTCAAAGTGTCCTCACTGACATGGATTATCTTGGGGGTATCAGGATTAAGGGAAAGTCTGGCTTTCTTTAGCTTCTTTCATGGAATACCCCCCTGGTCACCATAGTTAGTTTGGCGCTTGAGCATCAATACATTACCCATCCCCAAACGCTGTTAACCAGGACATTACCCATCCCCAAACTTAACCAATTCCCTTTATGATGTGCATACTGCTTTATATTGTTCTTAATGATTTTGCAGAGCTCCACTCATGACATAATGATAAAAAATTATATAAATCGTGGGCACGTTTTACTAATGTTATTAAGTCATTCCCATAATATATTAAAATGTGCCTACAATGCATATAATTGTTGTTATGGCTGCCTGTAAAATTCCTGGCTGTATTCCGCTTCCAGCAGATCAATCACGCCAGCAGTACGTTATAGACCGGGGGAGATTTTTCCAGTGTGGGGTGTTCAAGTCAAAGTGCATGACAAGACCGAGTCCATTCCTATGTGGACTTGCACCCTGACGAGTACCATAACTGATAATAATACTGTGACTGTGATAATAATACTGCGTGGCGTGGCACTGTGCAGTACTCCTGCTGTACACTATCTCCTCTGACCATCCTGAGTAATGCACCTGCGCTCAGGCTGGTGAATTAATCCTTATCCTGTGCATATGACCTTTTCCAAAGCTACATGATTTGTGTTGTACTGCTGATCAGAGGGTTAGATATTTGGGGGACATAACTTAATATTTCTAATATAAAGGTCTGTTTATTAGGGGGACAAATGAATGAAGCCAAATGAAATACTGGGGGGGGGTTACATACCTACCCTCCCCCCATCCCCCTTGCTTCCTACACCCCTGTTTCTGTTCCTTAACTGCTAGACCACATGTTGCCATAGACAGCACACAGAAGACAGCATTCAGCTCCAGGGACCCACAGCGGAGCCAGAAATCATAGTGTGGGTGGGGCGGCACGAAATCAGATGGGGCTCACCCATAACAATTCACTATATATGTGTGTGTGTGTGTGTGTGTATATACACTCACCTAAAGGATTATTAGGAACACCTGTTCAATTTCTCATTAATGCAATTATCTAATCAACCAATCACATGGCAGTTGCTTCAATGCATTTAGGGGTGTGGTCCTGGTCAAGACAATCTCCTGAACTCCAAACTGAATGTCAGAATGGGAAAGAAAGGTGATTTAAGCAATTCTGAGCGTGGCATGGTTGTTGGTGCCAGACGGGCCGGTCTGAGTATTTCACAATCTGCTCAGTTACTGGGATTTTCACGCACAACCATTTCTAGGGTTTACAAAGAATGGTGTGCAAAGGGAAAAACATCCAGTATGCGGCAGTCCTGTGGGCGAAAATGCCTTGTTGATGCTAGAGGTCAGAGGAGAATGGGCCGACTGATTCAAGCTGATAGAAGAGCAACTTTGACTGAAATAACCACTCGTTACAACCGAGGTATGCAGCAAAGCATTTGTGAAGCCACAACACGCACAACCTTGAGGCGGATGGGCTACAACAGCAGAAGACCCCACCGGGTACCACTCATCTCCACTACAAATAGGAAAAAGAGGCTACAATTTGCACGAGCTCACCAAAATTGGACAGTTGAAGACTGGAAAAATGTTGCCTGGTCTGATGAGTCTCGATTTCTGTTGAGACATTCAAATGGTAGAGTCAGAATTTGGCGTAAACAGAATGACAACATGGATCCATCATGCCTTGTTACCACTGTGCAGGCTGGTAGTGGTGGTGTAATGGTGTGGGGGATGTTTTCTTGGCACACTTTAGGCCCCTTAGTGCCAATTGGGCATCGTTTAAATGCCACGGCCTACCTGAGCATTGTTTCTGACCATGTCCATCCCTTTATGACCACCATGTACCCATCCTTTGATGGCTACTTCCAGCAGGATAATGCACCATGTCACAAAGCTCGAATCATTTCAAATTGGTTTCTTGAACATGACAATGAGTTCACTGTACTACAATGGCCCCCACAGTCACCAGATCTCAACCAAATAGAGCATCTTTGGGATGTGGTGGAACGGGAGCTTCGTGCCCTGGATGTGCATCCCACAAATCTCCATCAACTGCAAGATGCTATCCTATCAATATGGGCCAACATTTCTAAAGAATGCTTTCAGCACCTTGTTGAATCAATGCCACGTAGAACTAAGGCAGTTCTGAAGGCGAAAGGGGGTCAAACACCGTATTAGTATGGTGTTCCTAATAATCCTTTAGGTGAGTGTATATATTGCCAGTTTTAAATGACCTATGGCGTTACTAGATCACTTGAACAAAAACCAAGAAAAATCTATTCGCCTCTCAGCAGCAGTTCTCCTCTGATTGATTTAACCACACACACACATAGCTGTCAGACTCAATCGTTTTATTGCACTGTATCGCTCACCTTCTGGGTGGGACCAGGACCACCCTGGCCCACCTGCAGTAGCTATGGACATGTTAGAATAACATCAGTTCTCACTTAATGCAAACTAATACATTAATTTTTAAAAAGGTTTGTATTCCCATTTAACCACCACAGGTTCCTGGGTTACAGAAAACTATGTGTGGATTAGTGTGGAGAGATCAAGAAAAGGTAAATGTTTGTCATTTTCTTGCAGAAGATGCTTTTAGATCCAGTGGACAACAATCTGTTCTCATATTCTGACAACTTTTTTTTTTATTCCAGGATAAAATTCAAGATGTATATAAGCGAGTAGGTAGCATTATTTGTATCAAATAATTCATAAAGCTTCTTTTCCATACATATGAACTTCATTGGAGACTCTCTCCTTTTTTCAGTTCTTGTTTCATTATTCAAAAGCCCAAAACTCTTTGCGGTCCATGCAGCGGGAGGTAGGTGGTACGTGTGTGTGTGTATGGGGGTGGGGGGGTGGTGATGGGTTAAATTTCATTATGAGAACCAATGATGATCCTGATCCCTTATTTGCCATATGCACAAATACCGGTACATGAACATTGGAATGCATCACATATCCCATCCTGCTCTCCTTTGACACATAGACACATATATATATACAGCTAAGAGCAGTGCTTGGGTCCGAGGGCAGCTCAGCCATTAATCAGGCAGCCTTGCAGCACTGAGGGATGTTTTGAGCCATACATACTTGCTCTGTGTATTTTGTGCTTCATGTTGGTTCATATTTGCCTATGAAAAATGTTGCCATGAATATACATACAGTCGTTCCTCGGTTCTCTAACTCAAATTTCTTGAAAGTCAAACAAACCAGTTTGACCTAGAACTCGATCTGAATATCAGAAGTCGAACCATGAACACTGACCTAATATAAATCGTACGTGCCAGGAAATGAGTCATACTACAATGCAATTCTTACTTGAATGCCTTCTTCATAGACTGGACGATCAACCAAATAAAGCAGCGCAACATTACAGTAACTAACAATAAATAAACCACTAACTTATGTGTACTATTAGAGCATTTATGTCATTTATTTAAACTTTATTTTGCCAGGTAAATTAACTGAAAACCAGTTCTCACTGCTTTACGTGATATTCGGGAGGAATAGCAGATTACGCATCGGAACTGCCCGGGATACGTCTTGCGTGTAACTAAACTCTTCAGTCAATAAGGGCAAAGGTGTGTCGTCACGGAGGCGGTTCCAGTTTGTGCAGCCAGGTGAGAGGTCGCAATGCATCTAACCATAATGCATTGCGTCAGGATCAGAATGCGTTGCTTTAAGCCAGCGCTGTAAGCAAATCGAACGCACCCAATGACCGGACTGGGGAAACAAACTGAAACGCGGACTTAATACAGAGGACCAGGGGCATTGCTAGAGATTTTGGGCCCCATGAAAGCATATCATATCAGGCCCCCCAGTCCAAACCAATCCAGTTATTTTCCTAATTTTTTAGGGCCCCTGTCGCTCATCGTCTTAGCTTTCCTCCCCCTTACGGCGCCCCTGCAGAGGACTAATGACAACAACCAGAAACAGCTGATCACATGGGGATCCCACACGAGGTTAACGAGGGGGCGTGGCACACGGAAGGAGCGGACGATCGGGGCAGGACAGGGGTAATGTTGGGATAAGATCTTTATCGTTTTGGAAGCCATTAAGAAAAAAATGCTCTTCTTGTTTTAACCTGTTCATAAAAACATATTTAGGTGTAATTTTGGGGGCCGGGAACCAATTAATTGGTTTTCCATTATTTCTTATGGGAAAAATACGATCAGAACTCAAACTTTTTAGGATTTGATCCGGAGTCCGTAACAGATTAAGTTCGAGAACCGAGGTACCACTGTACCTTTGGAAATTCTGTTTCAAAAAGGGGATGTACAATCCCACAACCATTGTCTTGTCTACCATTGTAGTCCCAATCTGTCCACCCTTTGATGCGTCTGTACCCCAAACTCTCACAGAAGAGAAGAAAGCAACCTGCTCCTTGGGTAGGAATGCACTTACCTGCGATGTATTTCTCTACTGTTAATAAATTATAAATTACTGTTAATTAAGTGTTCACTGTCCTCATGGCTCAAAATAACATGCATGTCCTCTGTTTATCCTTAGCGGAGCTGAGTTGGCGTGTACAGGTAAGATGTTATCTTCCATTGTTGGTTATATCTGTCATCAATGGGAGTAACTTAGGCCACGGAGAGCTGAAAGCTGCTTTTTCACTTTTGATGTTATGGGGGTTGTCTCATGTTCTATGTCCTTCTTTCACTGTTTAGTGGTAGAATTACCAATTCCGGTTTTGTGGCTGTTCTGTACCTAATCACCTAGGCACCTGCCTGAACCCAACAGCAACACAAAGGCGTCTAATATAAACCCTAAGGGGGGGTCAAACTGCATTACTTTACACAAAACATGCATATCCCATGTATCCTAATGTCACCCAGATTCAATCCAATAATTTAAGTCCAAATACGATTGAAATCCAGAACTGCCTTAATGGAATTCCTTTAAATTATGTTTTGAGCTCCCATTGATGATGATACAACAGCTGGAATCATTCTAAATTTCAGCACCGTATTTCTGGTTTGGTGTGTCATGATGGTTAATTAATAGCATTACCCACAATGATTAATGAATAATTTTTTTCAACCCAAGAGATCCATAAATTTGCCCATCTGTGTTACTCAGTTCAGGTTAAGTATCTTTTTCAAGGGTGCAACAGCAGCTTTCTACTTGAAAAATGAACAATGCAGACTTTTTTGACTTGAATCTCACATCTTAAAAGTTATGCAGACCCCGCTACAGGACCAAAGTTGTGAACCCGTAAGTCAGATCAAAGGCCAGCCAGGACCCATAGAGTGGTAAACAGCAAATCTATTTAGATACACTTCAAAACAAAGGGGTGCTTCAGTTTAGTGGGTAGGTTAAAGAGATTGCTGTTGTATCCTTGAACAGGGCACTTATATGTAATGTAGATATTTCAACAGATGAGTAAAATGTAAGCAACTGCAAACAAAAATAAAAGTACTAACAATATGTAATTATCACAGACATTTACCTCTAGCTTTCAACCTTCAGGTTTAGTCTACTAAAATGTTTTGGCTATAAACCTGCTATCACATATCTGCTGACTAATGCAATGTTTTGCTAAATGAAATGGTTGGGCTGGATGTCAAAGCACTTCATGCAACTCTGTAAATAGCTGGTTTGTTGGTGTGTCACAGTTCTTGAGAAATTAATAGCCAGATCTCATCAGTATGAGAGCCATATATAATGCATTGAACAAACAATCATGACGAGGAAGGAGGATATGCTTACTGTATGGCCAGGAACTGACCTGGGATCAGTGGAAATTACCCTGACCGTTTCTTTACTATTCTGCCATAACCTGAAATACACTTATCTGATGCATCCAGATACCTACAATGACCATCTATCGGTCTTATGGATGTTTCTACACCAATTACACATCTAATACCAACATGGAGAATCACACCAGGGGGTCATGTTGGGTATAAAACAGCAGCAAGGAACAGGAAGGACCCCATACTGATCAATAATGGGTAACAATGTCCGTTGAGGACTCAGCACATCAATGCTTTATTCTCTCTCTCTCCCTGAAGATGTGAAGACTCCAGAAGGACTACAGCATCAGTGTATAGAACCATGTACATAAAAGGAGAAGAACCCCAGCACTTTGTATTGTACACTACAGAATGACTTATGCATATGAGGTACACGGAGCTATAGTGTTGAATGTCAGGCAGTAACCATGGTGATCCTAAATCGCACCCTCACATTTGATTAGTCTAAATAAAAGCATGTTGAAAAGTGACAAAGTTTAAATGGAGGTTCTTCTGCACATCTGGCTCATTTTGTGAAGACATATTACAGAGCTGGTCAAACTCACCAAGGCCTGCAGGCCATAACTTTGCATGGGGTATAAAAGCAAGAAAATGTTCTCGGGGCACAAGCATCATGAAGCTTAATGTTTCCAAAAAAAATTAAAAAAAAAATTTTTTGAAGAGTAATATATTTACTTTAACAGGTAATTGCACAAAGCGTTAATATATTAGAAACTTAATAAGATGTTTCTTTAAAACTATACAAAAGCTTCTGAAACAAACAGTAGTAGTTAAAAAAAAAAAAAACAGTGGGATATTGCTGTAACTTCCCTACTTTCCTGAAGAGGCTGGGCAGATATCAGCTGTTTTCTCTGTGGATAAGAATCATGATCATGAGGATGTTGGTTCGCCATGTTTTTTGAGAACTGCTGCCTCTCGGCAGAGAGATCTCTTGGTCACTGAACAATTTGTACCACTTCATCAGTGGCAAAACTTGGAAGCTGGTCTCCCCGCCAGTGAGGGCTGTTCCGAGTTCATCCCGAGAGGCTGCTAGTCTTCATCCTCAGACTCGCTGTCCTTTTTTGTGGGCAGGGAGCACCGGATGGACGACATGAGCTTGTCTTCTATCTGTTTCCTTGGGTTCTCCTCCAAATCTGTCTTCACAGCTCCAGTCTTTGAAAGATTCCACTCAAGCTCTGTGTTAGTGAAGAGAAAAGTGTGCGACATTAAAATGCATCATGCTTCACTAATATATAATATACAAGAAATATTTTATCATGGACATAGAAAGAAAACAGAAAAAGCACCAATTATGCTGTCGACAGGGCAGTATTACCAGACGGACATTTGAAAAAGTAACTGAGGATCCCTGAAAAGCCAAAGGGTCTCTCAGAATGAACATTGAGAAAGATCAGTTATATTATCATCCATTCCTCCATCCATCCAAGTACTTACCCAGCCGAAGGGCATGGATAAGTTATGTTAAAGATTTTACCAAAACAGTAACAAAATGTTAGCAAGTCAAATGCTACCTCACTTGAAAGTATTTGTATCTTACACTATAAGCTGGAAGTAGAACTACTCGTATTATTTAGAGCATATCATGAAAGCAAAACATACAATATTAAATTTAATTAGATTTATAAATATTCCACAGTTGTAAAGATAACTAAATTTTGTACAGTAAACTCTGGCTAAATTCCCATTTTACGAACATAAAACTTATGGATTAGAGTACTTCAGGAGTGGAATCATTAAACGACGGGCTGTTCTCAGGTGTAGTCCATGGTGTATCTCCTGACGCATGTACCTACAACCTGGGAATGTGTGTTTGTGAGGAACAATGTAGCTTCTCATGCAGAAGTACCATATGCACAGACTCTCACCTTCAATTTTTAAATTCATGCCACCAAACACCAGCGGCCCGATGAACTGTGCTTTCATGTCACCCTCAAAGTAGACGAAGATAGTGGGTAGATTCCTGTCAGGGTAGTTGGGGATGCAGGTGCTAGAGATGGACTTAAGGAACTTCGTCTGGGGAAACTTCCCGGCCAGGACTGAGAGGTGCTGGTTTATCAGTGTGCAAAGTGGGATTCTGGGAAGAAGGAAACCAGGGCCAGTTAGTGTCTGAGAGACAAGTCCATAACCTACAACGATGCTCATACACAGATTTATTTAGTGGCCTCTTTACTCAAAACGCAAAAGAAGGTCTTAAGGAATTTTTTTCTGAAATAAAAGTTTTCAGTAATAAAAACTCTGGCACAAAAGTAATGAAGCACTATCCGTGTGTGATCTCTAGGATCAGGACCAGGATGGAAAGCACTCACCCCTGTTTGTAGAGGTGTAGCACTACCCAGATGCCCTGACCTGCTTTGTTCACTTCCTGTACATAGTCTTGTCCCGATATCTCTTTCACCTCACCAAATATATTCTTCATCTGATTGACTTTCCATTCTGCAAGTCTTTTTTGTCTGAAAGTATGAATTCAAAAGTTAAACAGGAAATGAAGACCATAAGTACTAAATAATCAACAAACTATCCTATTACATAAGGACTGCACTACAGATTCTCTCAAGACCCAGTCCATAAGAATTTGCTTAGTTAACCACATAAACTTTATAAACTTAAAGTCCTTTGAAATTCATCTGGAGTTCATCAGTCCTATGCCACCACGTTAAGTTTATTAGGGTGACCATACGTGCTATTTTTCGTGACTTAAAAATGCCAGAAAAGTCCGGGATTTTGCTTTGTTTCATATTGCAATTTAATTTCTACAGTCAGAATACCGTCTGTTTGCACATTTGTTTTGCTTTGACGCCTCTCTTTGCGCCCTGCCCCCGGCGTCACTTTTTCGAAAGCAAAATATGGTCATCCTACATTTTATAGTCTGGACGGACCTGTACATCTCGATGGCCGCTTCGTCCTCCTCGCTGAACTCGTCTTCATTTTCCTCAAGTTCTTCCAGGGTCATATCTTCGTAGGTTTTTACTGATGCATTGTAAAAACGAAGATGACGGGTGGTAACGGGAGGATAACGTGTTTCACACACCGTAACATGTTAAAATAATACAGTTGTGTAATCCACACCACAAATACTCACCAACTGACTGTTGCTGGAGGATTTGCTCTCCCTCCTCATCTTCTTTCGGCGTTTCCTTGGGGGGAAGGATGCCTTTTTTCCTGAGAATGTCGTTCCATTCAGTGTCTTCATTTGGATCCTGGAGAAACACGTTTCAAGTCAGTGAACTATATGAATTCAAGAAAACGATTCAAGGGTCATTAATTGCTGCCGTTTACTCTTCGCGTAGTTGGCCAAACTATGTAACAGCATATATTTTAAAAAGATATTTAAAAACATGTCAGAAATTTTGATAAATACCTGCATTTTTGATATACTGAACTGCAGCTAAATTCAAGACCTCCCTATTTCCTTATGAACCACGCAAAAGGGCGGTGTGCTTCTTGATACAGTCCGTCAACTACAAAAAAAAAGACTTATAATTATTTCGTATAGGTCAAAGGAGAGAACAAAAGATAAATTATTATGTAGATTGAGTTATCAGAATATTTTATTATATGCATTATAAATTCATTGCCTGTAATGTTATTAAGCTATATAAGTATAAACGTTAAACGAATTGCCCGGACCTTAATCCACGTTGCACCAGCAAGGATCTACTCCATGTCCAAATAAGGACACGGAACGTCACATTCTTATCGTAGCAGCTGTGAGTAAAAGAACATGAACTAAATATACACACATACATATTATGTTATTTTCCTTTTTAAAATATATGTATATTTTAACCCATTTGAATCTGTTGAAACCCAAACGTATTATTGTTTTTTTTCCCAAATGAAAAATATTACGTTTAATTATTCAAAGGAAAATGTTTTATAAATACAACCCCCCAGTGATCCTAATACAGATAAGCAAATGGATTAATTATTTTATTTTACTAAAAATACTTAACGCAATTTATTCTATGATTTTTTACTTTTGTTATCACATGATATACATATTTCAGCGAAATGTCTGTTGTAATTGTAATGATTATAGGATATATGAAAACTCAGTATATGAAATACACTGAACTAATTAGTATATTTGCTTTAATTTTACGTTTGGATACACTGTAGATGTAATGTTATAGATTATTATTCTTAATAAATAAATCACAGGTCCTCATTAATCCGAGCTGATTCATTGTTCAATATGGACCGCAGTTTTGAGCATGGAATTCTGGAGGCTACTATATATAGTTATTATTGTTACGCTGCTTGGAAATTTCACCATAGTGCTATTAGCAACACAGCCAACAGGTTAAACAAAACGCGTGAGCAAGTCCTCAAGAATAATGATGAATCGAAGATGAATTTCCTTCACCCTTACAATGGCATGTAATGGTAATGTTCTATATTAATGTTGTTTGTAGTAGCACAGAATAAATGCATCAGAGAATTTTACAAGACCCCTAACTTGCCCTAGCAGAGCATTCCTGATGTAAAAGCTGACACTCCATACCGTGGTATACTAAGTAACTTAATGAGAAAGCTGTCATTCATTCTCAACCCTCTAAGACAAAATCTGAATATCTCACATTTTATCCTTCCCTAGGATGTCGTATAATAGACAATAATTTCTTAAAACTGACATTACACTTGTTTTTATTCAATGTAAAGTCAGTCAAAGCTCAAGTCTTTGTGACAAGTGCAACAACCATTCATTGTTCAAGCCATTAGTTCAGCTTTCCCTATACTTACCACTTAAAACACCAAATTAAATGATTCTACATTACAACAAATAAACCAAAACAGAATACTGAAAAAGCAATTGCACGGTGCATATATAATCCAAAAGATTTATCTGCCGTCGTGCCGCCAAAAGGAAATTGCACTGCGATGTCAGCACTATTTGCTATACAATTCCTAGATATTAAAGATCTATTATAATGGACCGTGTAACATCTTTTTCCTTATAAGATGTCATTGGCAATTTGATTTTATATGTAGCTGGCCTCGATGTGTTTTAACGTCTCTTTTCATGTTGCTGTTTATAATGCGAAGGGAGGGGAAAACCAACAACAAAAATATCCGAAAGAATCGCCAATCACAAAAGGATATTCAAATGAAACTTCCTCTGTTTTCACCGGAACTGTAGGAAGGAAAGAGCTCAGGCGCTTCGCTGTCTGTATTTACATTAGTGGGTAGAGGGACTAATGAAATCTGACACAACGCAAGATACCGGGCAGCGGTTCAGCTCAATCATGGATGATCCCGAGAAGTTCGCCTCTTTCCTGACGAATCGACGTTAAAACAGCCGGCGCACTTCAGCATTTATGGTGCTACAACGGCGTTTTCCCCCTGGTTCTTTTCCTCCCTTCCATCTTCGCTGAAGAATGTGGCTCAATCCCGAAGAGGTTTTGCTGAAAAACGCGCTCAAGCTGTGGGTAACGGAGAAATCCAACACTTATTTCCTTCTGCAGCGCAGGAGGGGCCATGGCCATTCCGGGGGGAAATTAACAGGTAAGACCGCCGTGCTCTGGATGCGGGACCGCGGCGCACGCATTTTGGGGGCTGTGACATACGGCCTAAGCGCCCCAAACTGGACAAACGAAGCAGCTCAAAGTTTATAGAGAAAATGCGCAGCTGTGCACAGACTTGGCAGAAACCGAGCTCCTTCGCTAGTGCTGTGCAGTAAGGAAGTTGCTTATTTTTATACTTTCTATAAAGGAAACATATACTAATTGATACTATGATGAAGGTAGCCATTATGTTATTATGTATTTTTAATTATTTCCCTGTTTATCATGTTCTTCATATCTGTAGTATATTATGTTTCACAGTACGAAAAAGCAAAACTGAATTAATTCGTTTCTGAACCTGGAACCTTTGCTTAAGGATAAATTTAGCTTTCAATGATAAGTATGTTAAATGATTTGCACATAAAACTTCTGGTTTACAGATAAATTAAGATAAATTTAGTTAAATAAAAGTCATTAACGAAACACTGGACTCAGTCTTTGTATATTACTTGGCGTCAGTTGCGTTCGGTCATCCGTCTCAAGATTGTCGCTAATGAAAAAAGAAAAAAAAAAGATTGTCGCTAATGATCTATCGATTGCTATTAGGTTTCACGATTTCGTGATTTTGATTGATAAACTGGTGGATTGTCGCGTGGACTGCAATGCCCCGCTTCAAACCAGCGTTTCCGTATTCCATAACTTTCTTACGGTTGTGGGAATGGTGGTTATGCATAGTATTATCATAATAAAAACGGGGTTCATAAAGTAATAGGTTGGAATTAACGACCAATTAGATCGTCAGTCAAGAAATCTATTTTTCCTTTCTGCTCCATTTCCTGGCAAAATCAGTTTTCTTAAAGCAAAAAAAAAAACTAAAAAGGAAACATCGTTTGACACAATGCCAGAATGGGAATACGTCTTGAAAATCAAGGACTTTTCTTACATTTTTTTTAAAGGGATGTTCCACTTCCTCCTTCACAAGCAGCCTTTACGGAACAAATAGAAGGAAACAAATAGGTTTCAGGTCATGATTTGCACAGATGACTATATGTAAAGTTAATAAATAGCTAGGCAGTAATATTGTAAAATAAAGTTGTGTACAATATGTTCCTTTTGTTCTTTCCTTCATATCACCAACTCAGAAAAGCCAGACGTACTCAGTATATAAGCCAGGAGTACAATGATGCAGTCACAAGGTTCCAAAGCGATAGCCCTCAGCAAGATTCATGCAGATAACTCATTAAAAAAATTCTTTGTTATAAAATGCTGTGGGGAAATTTCTAAGACTTAGAGCCAGTGTTCCCCTGTTCCGGTCCGGGAGGGCCACTCTGCACCACAGTTTGCAGACTTCTTTGCTCAAACACACCTTATTCGCCTCACCAGCCAATTGCCAGGCTTAGTAAGCATGTTTGAGCAGGGAAACCTGCAAACTGTGGCAGGCTGGCCCTCCAGGTCCGACACTGTGGAACAAGATCAAGGAGCTGCCGAATCCATTTTTTGTTGTGTGCCCGGGGGGTGGAGAACTTTTTTTTTTCCTTCTTGAAGATATTCGTGATTTATTTAGATATTTAAGTTTGTGCAGTCATTTGTCCCTGTTGCTGCTCTGACCCTGGGCTGGTTCACCTGTTGCCATGGCATTAGGTGTTCCATCCATCCATTCATAGCTCAATCGGTCACCTTATAATGACTTTTAATGGTCTGGGTCGTTTGGTAGGGCTGGGAGCCTGTTATAGGCAGCATAGGGTACAGAGCTGGGATACAGGGCTGTGGAGTCGGTAGATAAATGCTCCGACTCCGACTCCTCAGTTTCTAAATCTTCCGACTCCCCGACTCCGACTCCTCTGTATGTATATACTATGCTAATGTATTTTCTACATCCATTGAAGGAAAGGAAGGCAACATACATGTCATTTCACCACAGAACTACTGGCTAGGAAGCCAACACTCCACTATAATGCCAGATTAAAGACAAACACAATGAAAACAAGGTTTCAAGGGTAGCGCATAGCGAAGGGGAGCCGACGGAGCTGAGAACACACCAGATGATTTTTCAGGCGTTTGACGCGTGATGACTCGTTGAATGGCCGAAAAATCGGCAGTGCATCTGTAAATGTATGGGGGGCTTTAGGCTAGGTTCACAGTTCCCTGTAACAGTGAAACACGACACAATGGAAAGCGGTGCCGCACCTTACCTGTGCATTACATCCCATATAGTGACGCATACAGTCAATGAAAAGCATGCTTCATGGTTACTTGACATGTTCGTTTTGTGGTAACATTATGCACTGCATGCATTGGGCTTTATTCTTACAGCAGAGAAGTAGTTCATTATGACTGTTTGTGAATTGGGACATTTCAACTTACTTTTTAAATTCCCATTTAAATTTATTCGGAGTCGGAGTCGGAGTCGGTTAACTTTTTGCCGACTCCGACTCCAGATACCCAAAATTGTCTCCGACTCCGACTCCACAGCCCTGCTGGGATACACTGTGGACTGAATTTGTTGCTCATGGTTAATATGAATCTGAGTTGATGTGTTGCATTCTTGGGATTAGATTAGCAAAGAAGTAAATTAATCAATATGGACACTCCATGCTGCTATTTATGTAGGGCTGACAGCCTAGGATTGTGGCTGTATAACTGACTTGCTTTATTTCACTCCTGCAAGTGATAAATGCCTGCTTACCTCTGTTACTCATGGTGGCTTCTGTTTGTTCTCTTTCACTTACTCTTGCTAATGCTGTAGTAAGTACATTTCTGTAAGGGTTAATATTTACAGGCAGATTTGCTCTTTTTTTCATTTTCTGTTTGTAGCAGTAATCACTGATACGGAGGCTCTATAGTTAGCATTGTGACCTCGCACCTGGGGCTGTGGGTTTGGTTTCAGCTGCTAGCAGTGTGTGCGTGCAATTGGGTTGCGTCGTAAACCAGTACTGGGAAAAAAAAAACACGGTAGTTTTGAAAATGG